TACTTCATATATCTGTCAACAGGTTTTTTTTTTAAAAAACAGTAACCACTTACTCATAATGGACATTCAGAGAAAGACAAATTACTACCTTGTGAGAAAGGAAAAGATTACGAGCTTCATTCACTACTGCAAAGATATTCAATGCCTTGGATGGAAGAGAGCGCACAGTAGCTAAGCATAGTTAATCAAGATTCAAAAAGGAAAGTAGAGAACTCCAATATTCTCCTTTTACTTCTATTCACTGAAAAAAAAGAGCACTAATCCACCACTAAATGCAGAATCAAGAAATCCGATTCCCCTTTCCCTCCCTCTCTCCTCCCTTCCCCCAGCTCCAAAAGCAGAATGTGCATAGAAGGACTTCCCGTACTGAGTGTAGCACCTGGGTAATTACGAATTACAACTGTGCAAACCACTGTACTAAATAGAGATGCTCGCCACTTAATTAAACCCTTTCTTAGAGAGGAAATGCATACACATTCACACTATCTCCTCTTCTTAATTGGTCTCAGACACTGCAGGAAGTTAGTCCCCAAGATCTGTCAGCCAGCCAGCCCACAGATGTTTCAGAAAGAAAACCAGGTCAGCATTGCCAGGTTCACTTCTTTGGCTGGAGGCGACAGGTCAGCAGATCAGTGTCTGCTGTCTGCAGCTGGCAGCTCCACCAAGGGAAATGGTCCCTCAGCACTGGCCCAAATTCCTGCCAAACGTGCACTTGGCCCTGGCCAGCCAGCTCCCCCAACAGCCACAGCAGCCCCAGGAGATCCCACTGCTGCAGCCACCTGCACTCACTCACCTGGAGGGCTCTGTGGGCATCCCCAAACCCTGACTCAGTGAACCCCAAGTGCCTCTGGCTCAGCCTCACACCATCAGCACTGGGGGCCAAGATCTGCCTCACAGCAGAACTGCAGAGGGACACGACTCAGAACACTCCAGCCCACAGCCAGGGTCTTTGAGCTGCACACAGGAGTCCAAGAACACTTCTCTTCTGACACATCAGCCTCACTCTAATTCCCACTCTGTATTCCATGGCCCTTCAGAAAAAACACAGCTGAGACCCCCACCTTGCCCCTGGTGGAAAAAACTGAAATGCTGCTGAAAAGTTGTATGAACAAAATATTTTGGTTTTTCCCACACATAAACACCAAGCCTGAGCTGACAGTACCAATGGCAACAGAAAACAGTGCTCCAGAAAGGAAAGACTGACTTAAGTAGGCCATGATCAATATATCTGATCACCAATATAAAAGAATTCTGCTCTGTATACAAAGATCTTTGAGCCTAGCAGGTGCATCTGTAAAAACCTTATACACATTACTTCCACTAATAAAAAACTCCAAGCAAAATAAGAAAGAAACAAAACCAAACCCTATATCACACATTACTATTTATTACCTCAAAAAAGAAAAAAAGCTTGGATTAAAACTCCTCTGAAGTTGCTTGTGGCCCACCTGGCAGTCTTCACCCACTGGTATAACTCTTCAGCCCAACTCCAACCTTTCAAGACTTGTAATCTTCTGCTACTTATGGAATAACACAAAGACAAATTTAGCATTAAACCTTGTCAGCTGCTATCAATGGCTATCAGTACTTTCAGTATCTGAGTTACTGCCTCAGCTTTAACAAATACCTGATGCACATCTTTTTGCATCATCCAGTACTCCAGAGTATATCTATTTACAGATAGCAAATCACTTGCCTAATTCATTAGAAGACAAAAACAATATCAACCAAACACAGACAAACAGCAGCAAAAGAGGCTTATTTAGATTAATAGCTCACAGAACAAGCACCCTCATTTTTTATTTGGGCATGCTGAAGAGGGAAAGGCAGAACAACAACAGAGCTGCTCTAAGAATGTAATTCTAAGGCTTGGGGTGGGGAGAAAAGAGCCAGGCTGCGAAGAACTCCTATTAAAACAAGACAAAATTAAGAATACGTGGTGTAAACATGAAGTTTACAAAGTCAGTTAGAAAAACACTGCTTCATATTCCATTAGAGAAATCTGCACAAACCATTTTCATATCGAGTTACAGCCTGGAGGACTGGGCAAGGAGACGATGACTGCATGCAGACAGCATTAAAGAGAGTTTAAAAGTTCTGCCGGCAGCAATGACGAGTTTTCCTGACATCAGCTGCCCCTTCCCAGGGCTGATGGATTCACACCGGGCTGAATCCGCTCCTTCCCTTCCCTGCAGGACAGCGGGCGCCATCTCGTGGGAGTTCTGTGCTTTGTCACCCAAATAAAGCCGCCGCTGCCACCCAAAACCTCCCAAAAGTGTTTTTCTGTTCAAATAGATTACCTGTTTAACGGCAGTAGAGGAACTGCCTGGAAAATATCTGTAAGCTAAAAGTCCAATGCTGAAAAAACAACTGAGTGTGTCATGATTAACATGGTTTGTCAACAACTCCGTTACTCAAATCTCAGATTTTGAAGAAACAGAATCCACATCTGCACATCCTGGAGAGGCAAGAGTACAAGAAGCTTGTTTTCTCAACACAACCCTTTCCTAATAACAGTCCTAAAAAAGCCATGTATAAATATCCTGCTATAGGACAGTACATTCCAAAATAAATAAGACTTTCTACTCACAGAACAAGAATTTAACGTTTTGTGGATTTTCCCTTTACAGCTGAAACCAATTCTAGAGTAGAAATGCCAAGTCAAAGCAACACATGACAAATGTATGAAAACCCCTGGCAGCATAACAGTAACACACACAAAAAAAGACCTAGATCCACAATAAAAACCAGAGCCAACTATACTGCAAGGAAGGCAATAAAAAAGCTCAAGAAATCCAAAGGACATATAACTGAATACAAGAAAGATGACAGATTTATCATGTGTACATATGAACCATATATAGCACATATGATGAGTCCTATTTTATTATCTAGCTGTACAGCACAGGGATATTTTGCTATAGAGCTACAGCAGTTTTTGTTTCCACTGTTTATGAAGAGAGAAAAACCCAGGAGCTTACAAGTGGAATCCAGAACGAGTAAAGAGAAGATTAGCCAGAGTCAACCGTTAATTAACTTGTTTTCCCCCCACAAGGTGAAGCATTATAAACTCTCTTCCATTGTCACCAAAAAGAGACCACTACTAAAAACAGCTGGATTACCACCACACTCCTGAAAGCTGCACCTCCTTCCCAAGTATTATTACATGAAATTACACTGCAAGGGCTGATCATAAGCCAATCTGACAAAAAGCCTACTGGGAGCAGGCAATCAGTGAACAGAAACCACTGAGAGCAGACACTGAGCAAGCCCTGTGGAAGTGCTGGAGGAAATGAAAAATCATCCTCTCCTAAAACACCACACGCTGCATGCACTTCCCTTACATCCTCTGTACCAATAAAGAACCTGATAAGAAAAGATGAGAAATCCTAATTTATTCCCTTTTCCCTTTCTTATCTAGTTATTAGTAAACAGAACATTGCTCTGGCTCTTTGGGACAATCAGTCAACTTGTTCTTGTTTCTTTTCTACAATGAGATGGGCAATTAACTCCTCTCACACTTCCACCATTCTCCAGGATCCATCCAGGACAAAGATCTCTCACCATATTCATTGCCCTCACCAAAAATTAATGTAATTCAGGCTGTAAAAAGTCCGAGCAAGAAAAAAAAAATATATAAAAAGAACAATAAGGGAGGGAGGGGGAAATCATCCAGTCCCACTTGCTCCAATTGCATGAAAAGATGATCTTCCTCAAGAGCAATTCCCCTTTCTGTAGAAGGTGCCAATAATAGCACTAAACAATATGGCCCAATCACAAAACTAGCACTTCACAGTGAATATTCTGATTTTAAATGAAGGAGTTATTAGACTTCAACAGGCAGAATCACTTGGTTCCATTTCTCTCCCACTGTGAAATTACCTCGTTAAACCTTTAACAGCTTGAGGTAAGTAAAAAGCTTTTACTCCAAAAAAGGTTTTGTGAAAAGGATTCCTACAATTTCTGTCCATACTTTACCATAGGAGACTTAGCATAATTCCATCTTCATCTAAACGTATGGATCCTCAGCAGGTGCAGGAGGGAACCTCAAGCATGCTACCTACCAACTCTGGAAAAGGTTTGTTATCCTCATTAAACACAAAACACTGAGAAAATTAAGGGAGCTTTCCCAAGTTGAAACACAAGTATCTGTTAGGTGAAGCAGTGCTGTGTCTAAACCATATGTGCATTTCCAAACAATCCCAGCAGTGTGCACACACAGCTCTGTGGCTGAGGATGTGGAATGAATGGAATGGAGAAACAATTGGCAAGATGAGGTCCTGCTGTTCATATTTCAGCTTTGGCCCAGTGTGGAAGGTGATGCTCCTTTCAATTATTTACAAAGAAGCATCTCCTTTGCTCGTGTAATAACACTGTAAATATTTAGAGAAAATAAAACAATGTTGGAACATGGCACACAGAAGATTCATACATACACACAACACCTTCTGCAGCAGAAGAAAATTAACAGAAATCCCACTATTTCCAGCTGCCTTTTATACCACATACACAGGGACCTTAAAAGATCTGGTTCACTGCTCCAGATGTCAGGCTTCTTCAGCTGCTCTAGGGAAAGAAAGTCACAACATGTCTAGCAGCTAATTTTGATATCCAGATTTCAAAGGAAATAGGTTTACAACAGTTTGCCACAAGTAGCACACATTCTCTTCTCTGGACATCTAAAATTCTTAGCAATTCACTTATTAAGCAAGCGGAATCTCTAACTAAACAAAAATGCAGCTATACACAAAAAGTTCCAAGAATTCAAAACTGATGCCCAGTCTCAAAGATATTACTCAAAGTGACTTGGTGAAAAACATTTCTTAGTTCGCAAAGTTACTTTAAAAAAATGTGCATCTTATTTTCTTCTCATATATAATAAAATGTACTAGAAGAGCGTCCACATGAAGAAGGGACAGAAAGAAAGCATGGCCAACACACTTAAGAGATCAGTCAGAAGATTCAAAGTCTCACTTCCCTCCAGAGCTGTGAGCACATACCTGATATTTAAGCCAGTGCTCTGGTCCAGTTTCTCCCAGCTTTGCAATTTTCCCAGAAGTTTCTAAAGTAAAGATTAAAAGTAGAGTTAGACATAGATGCATGTTCTAACTTTCATAGAGTTAGAACAGCTCACTTTCCAAAGTTTTCTCATAATCCTCCATGCAAAGTCAGTGTCATTCCTTCTCCTTCTGTGGATTTCCTGATCTTATCCAGCATTTTTGGTTTGTCATTCTGCAGCCTTGAGTATCAAGATTCTTACCACTCATCTGTTTGACACTACCATGTCTAGACAGAGTTTGATGCCAGAAAAAGTCTTTCCAGCAAAAGAAAAGTAAAAGAGAAACATCAAGGCTAAAATAGACACTATGAGATTATTCTTTACACCAAATCTCCAGCTGAACAGGAGATACCTTTTGCCTTTTACACCTTCCTTGCTGTAACTCCCCTCATGCTGACTTTCCAGTTTGGGAATGTCTGGTTTGAGTCCATTAATTAAAGGAGGCAGCATATCCTAAGTAACACAATACAGGAAGAGCCTAAAAGTCAGGACAGGCAATAAAGGAAACTCCTGCTCATCCACCAGATGTTCCCAGCTCCTCACCTCATTTTCCAATTCCACAGTCACTAGCTGTGCTTGGACTTTCTCATAGCGTTCCAGTTTTCTTTGGAGACCTTCCACTTCCTCCTTAAGCAAACCATTGTTTTCCTTCATTTCCCTGTGGTGAAGAGAGAGACAATTGCTACGGATTCATGGAACTCAATTCCCCTTCACAAACTTTCAGATATAGGGGAATCCCAAGGGAATCATGACATTCAACTGACTCCCTTCTATAACCTTCACTGCAAAGCCACTTCTACAAAAAAATATAGCTTTATTGATATTATTTTTTTCTACTCTAAACACCATCCTAATTATGCCCAAAGAAGCTGAAGCTCTGTGTCTGCTTTACTATTTGTCAAAACAAGGGTAACAAGACTCTGAAATCTGCTTTTCAGTCTGACTGGAACACAGCAAACAGAACAGACCTGGGCTTTGGAGCACTGCTTGGTTTTACCTCAACAGAGGTGTACAAGGGTGAAATAAAACTGTACCAAAAAAAATGACCTTTAATCTGTTGGTATGTTTCAGTGTAGAAAAACATGCATGAGAAAAAATTCCAAGATAAACAATTTTAAATTATAATGAAATAATTACAAGACCAAAACCTAGGAAAATTACTTAATTTTTAAAAAATATAAAGTTGACAATATAACTCATGTAAAAAAAAGACAAGCAACAACAAAAAGGCATCCAACACTAAGGCTATTTATTTCACATTACATTTAATTTTGTTTTCCAAATTGATTGCCACTTTGACAATCCAGAAAGCCTACTCTACAAATGGCTGTATCAGAGTGCCTTAGAAATTTAAACAAGACACTTTCTAAACATTATGCTGTATCAACACGCCTGCAAAACAGTGGTAACAATAGCTAAGCAAAACCAGTTATTAAAGAAATACTCATCTGCCTCTTTTCCCTACAGGAAATTCTTTTCTCTAAGCTGTATGGAGTTCATCACTACCTTTAAACATTGAATTTCATTCTAACAAACCAAAATCACCACCCAGAACAAATGAATGCACATTCTGTGAGGCCCCTGTGTTCAAGAAGAGTCTCAGATCTTGTCAGATCCTCTCATCTAGTAAGCACCACAACACTGCTCATTTCATAAGCAGTGTTTACATGAAATATTTCCTTCTGAGCTTTCCCATGTGGAAACACTAAAGAGGGATGTAAAAGTGCAGGCAGTGCAGCTGTAGCATGTGCAGAAGAACACAACCCTCAACAACTGAGCTCTTCCTTCACCTGAAGTAGGCATTTTCCTCCCTGAGCTGGCGCAATTCTCGCTCCATTTTTGGGAAACGAGCCAGTTCTGCCTTCATGTTCTTGACAATCAGAGCATCATGTTCCTGCTGGGACAACTTCTGCTCCAGATCCTGGAAAACACCGGAGGAGAACAGGATAACAATGAGTAAGTTGGAATTTGTAAGAGCTATTTCTGCACTGTACCTTTCAAGCGCTAATCAAAGACCTGAATGAAGTTGGAAGGGAGCTCAGGCAGTCATGTGGTCCAATCCATGCTCAAGGCAGGGATGACTCTCGTTGCACTTGTAACACCTGGGCTGGCCTCTTCTCTACACATGCTTACCCCAAGTTCATTACAAAAAGCACTCAGTTATTCATTAAAATGATCTTCTATCAACTGAACCAAATCTGTGATTTTCTTGTCCTCTAGGGAAGCATTTCAATGGCCTGCAAGAATTATGTGCAGAAAGAAACATAAATGTGCATTTCAACGTTATGGTAAACGTTGAGGGGGTTTTCCACTAAAAAAAACAAATAATTTAGAGCTGTGTTGCAGACTTATATCCCGTTTCCTATCTTTTCATTTTAATGGAGAAAGTCTCCCCTTGCTGGCAATCAGGTTGGTTTTAGAGCAAAGCAATGCCACTGTCAGCACTGCTCAAACCAAAGTAATTCTCCACGTCTACCTCTGCCAGGAAGACAACACAAATTAAAAAGATACACTCCCACCAACCCATGTGCTCATTTGGAAGCACAAAAAGCATCTCTATACTGGCATTTAAGTTACTGTCGTTTTGAAAGCTTTACAAGTAATTGCACTCTCTAAACACAAATGTAGAGGAAGGATTTTCTGAGAAGCAGACAGTAGCTGTAGCTGCGGGGCTCATCACACACCATTTGAAAAAAACATCACTCTAGAAGCAGTCTTTCACAGAGCAAATTTGTGGCACAAGACAAAAAAAGCATTCCTCCAGAGCACTGCATAAGGATACAAATCACCTTTCTGTAGAGAAAGTAGGATTTTTTTCAAAGGCAAAGTGTCATGTTACAGCTAATTGTGGACAGCCTGGTCCACCCAAGTTCAACTCCTGCTAGCAACCAACTCAGGTACTTACATGACAAACTAACCTTTTACTTCTGCAACAGCCAATTTTTTAAAAAGCAGCATTCTGTTCTTCCACTGAAGGGATTAAAATCTAAAGCTTTATATAGGTCACAAAGTTTCTTACCTTAATCTTCTGTTCATATTCTACCAGTAAGGACTGGCTTGCTTGGAGTGTCTGGATTTGCTGACTTGCCTCCTGCCATTTCCTGTTAGATGAAGACACAAGAGGCACTTGAGCACCCAGAAATCAGGTACCAGAAACAACCAACCTTCAGAAGTCTCTGACCAACAGAGTCAAACAGCACTAACAAAGTAAGTGTTATTCTTTAACATTTTCTCTTTCAGTCTCACACTCATATGAGCTCCCTCTAATTTGGAGACAAAAGTAACCATTCATTTTAATAAAAAGAAGCATATTGAGAAAAATACAAAAAAAGAAAATCAAGCCACTTTAACTCTGAGAACAACAAATATACACTCAGAGCAAATAAAACTTCACAACTTTGAAACGGAACTGAACTTAGTAAGCAAGGAAAAACATACTTGTAACTTTCAATTACCCCTCCACTATGATTTAAGGTTTGATATTTCTGTACAGTTCATAAAGTTCAGATCAGCCTTTCCCATCCATGTGCCTTCTGTTCCTGGAACATGAAACATCACTGAGATTTAAAGCTCAAGTTTGTGGGTTTTTTTCCTCAAGGTACAATTAAAATTGCACCTCAGAATTGGTTTCAAACAACAGTTACAACCTGCACACCCAGATCAAAGAACCCCTTTGAAGAGCAGAAATCAAACGCTGTTGAAAGTTTTCTGAGTGATGACAGCTGCACAAGACTGAAGTTGTGTTTGCCTTTTTCACCCTACAGTCATTCATCCCTTGCTTACTTTTTTTCAATATCCAGCTGCTCCATCAGTTCCTGCTTCTGAGAATCTTGGCTTGTCATCTGCATCTCTTGGTTCATTATATTCCATTGCAGCTCTGATATTTTTCCTTTTAATACAGTGATTGTCTGAATAAAGAGGGAGAGAAAAAAAAAGCATAAACACACAAGGCTGTGACTCTCCAAGCCGGATATTACGGATGGTGACAGAAATAATTTCCAACCAAAAAGTATTAACACAATCTTAGAAACAATCCCACACTCTTGCAAACCTTCAGACCTGCAAACCTACCTCAAACAAACGCAAGAGAAAATAATTTTGCACTTTCATTTGCCATCCAAATTGTCATTTACGTAATCTCTTAAACATGTGACCTCAAACTGGCATGAAAAATATCAAACTTTAAAGTTAGATTATGTATTTTTCTAAATATATTAACTCTAAAGAAAAGCTCACAGGTTTGTTTCCAATAGCCATTACTCAGCTCCCTGTAACAGAGAGAAAGAGAAATATCTCAAAACATTCCATATGTAGTGTGTGTTCTAGACACAGAGACAGGTAGGGCTCTCATCTTGATACTGATAGAAATAAAAGAACAGACACAGAACTGCAGCACCCATCTTTCAGGTGGGTTTAGTTTCTCATATGTATCATCACTGCCCTCCTGGATTTAATCACTGATAACTGGAACATTAGATCTGTTGACCTGCTTTATCACACAGTTACATTTCCAGTGACACCTGAGCAGGAGCAGGGCTTAAGGACTTAGTGATTGCTGATCAACAGCTGGTGCAGGAAACCAAATTAAACAGGAAAGTTACAAATTAAATAGCTGAACTTAACTATAATGATATCTGAGAAGGTTGAGAAGATGGTCTGGACATCCAGATATACTGAAACTCTTACCCAAGCATTCATTCTGCAGTAGAATGCACAGGTATTTAAGACACTTCAGGAAGACACACTTGGTTCATAATGTTGCTCTCATCCACTCTAATGTTTTTCTGACTTCTCTGAACACTTTTCCATATTATCTACTCCATCACTGTCCCTTTGTCCACACTTCTGAACCCAGATGCTGAATGTTGCCTCACACTTCTTCTCTATAGCAGCTTGTCTAAGAAATCTCCTTCTGACCTGCTCACTTGTGTCTGGGCTTGGTTCTAAACTTTGACACCACCAAGGTTCCAGGTGATGAACACAATGTTGCAGTTATTTCGTTTAAGGGTTTTTTAATCAAAAACAACATTTTCAAGTCACAAGAACTGCAAAGTCACCTGAAGCTATGGATGAATTAAAAATTACTCTGCTCTTACTTCATTAGCTTCAGCTAATTTGCTCTCCTTTTCTTGCATCTTCTTACTCATTGCCTCCATGCTCTTCTTGTAAGATTTGTTCATCTCCATTTGTTCTTTCAGTTTATTTTCAGCCTCTATTTCTCTTTCCTGGTACTGCTTTATGCGTGTGAGCAGCTCCTGGTTTCGGTCGGCCTCTCGCTGGCCAAGGGAAAAAACATAAAGAGACTTAAGAAGAAGGCAGCAGAAAGGTGAAGGCATTTTTCTTTCTTTTGTCCTCATTACCATGGTCACCAATGGAAATTGCTTCATCATGAAGCAAAGTTACTCAGACCACAGCTTTAACCTAGCAAGGACAAAAATCTTATCAGCAGCAACTCAATGGAATTACCCAAGGAATTACCCAGGGAAATGGAGCTGGAAAATTAAGAGACCATGTCTTCCAAATCTCTTACACTAAGACATGACTGGGAGAATACAGATGTGGCTTGACAGATTCCACTGCACACTCTCCTGCAGATCAAAGATGAAAACATTCCATCTCCAATTTAAAGCTGACCCATGCACAGCAAATGACTTTCAGAAACTCAGACCCCAACAGCTGGGTTAGTAAGACAAACTTCCCTCTGCAACTTCTGGAATTGAGGCCATTTAAAAGAAAATATTATCAGCTAATAAAATAAATATCTTTAGTCCGACAACCTTTCATATACCACTTCATTCAGCTTATTCCTACCACAAATTGATCAATACTTACCGAAAAAATGCATAGTAAATTGCTTTTCTAATCAAAGCAACTGGAGACATGGATTTGCATAGTAAGCAAGGATTATGCAAAGCAATGTGAGTTTCCTAAAACCTTTATCCACATGACTCAGAAAAACACAGAATCTGAGCAGGGTAATTACCACAGTGCTGGATTAATGCTGCTCCGTTTTTTTGTACCAGTATTTCAAGGTTTTCTGTGACTGACTCAGCTACATTCCAGTTTGAACTCTTCCTGGCTTAATCCCACATCACCTGACTTCAGAGGAAGGAGGAATTTAGTCATTGACTCCCTATTTCACAACCATACACTAAATCTGTCACCCTCATAAAATACAACAAAACATACTTATTATTTTTTACAGATTTCTTTTTCAATAATCACCCACACAGAAGACTTTTATTATGCCACAAAAGCCACTGATCCACAGCTTATTTCAGTAACATCGTTAAGCAAACATATGTGGGCAGAAGAGCAGAACCCAATAAAAGCTATTAGTCCCTGAGTGAGGCTCACTGTTTTATCAGTGCAGGCTCTCTTGCGTGACACTGCATGGCTGGCACTGCTGCCATTCCAATTAATTACAGTCACACAAACCAAATGCTTGCAATTGTGCCAGCAGAAGTTAAAGCTCCTCTAGGAGAAAAATTATTAAATACTTCTGGGAGAAACAAATAACAAATCCCTTTTGTTACTGCTACCCATGACAACTTCAGTGCTAAGCTAACAGAATCCAGTGATCAGATCATCAGCCTGTGAACCTAACGAGGCTTCAAGTTCACAGTCTTGTGCACATTAGCAAGTTAGCAGTGTGCTGAGAGGGGACCTGCAGAGCAGTTCTGTAGACGTGCTGGTGCTGGCAACTTGACACCCACACCTGCAGCAAATGCAAACAGAGTAAATGCATTCCGAGTCACTGAAGTCCTGCTCTGAAGACAGTGTCCATTAGCAGCTGAACACCAGGCTTGCTCCTGGAGTGCACCTTTCAGCTGAGTTTCACTCTAAAGAAAGAGTAACCATACATATTCTGAACAGAACTGCAAACCAAAGCACACCTCTGAACCAAACCAACCCACTGATGAAATGCTCTCCATGTGTTCTGGCTTAGGCCAATGCTCCCAAGCCATGTGCAGACACCCCACTCACCTCATAGTTCCTGGCGTTGGTGTTGGCTGCCTTCTCCAGCTCAATGCGAGCTCGTTTGTGGCTCAGCTCCATCTGCATCTTCTCCCGTTCCACCTGCAGCAGCTGGGACTTGGAGTGGATCTGCCCAGCTTGTTCCTCCAGCTGGCCAGTTCATGTGTGAAAAGGGAATTGCACACCATTAACAGCACAACAGTATCATCCTCTCCTGAACTGCTCAGCTGACATTAACTTGCCATTTTACAAACTACCACCACATTTGTGGTACCTCTCACACCAGCTGCAGTTGGGGAAACTAAGAGTTCAACACCATGCTCAGAAACCTGTATCAAACCAAGGTGAATTGGAAAGAAATTAATTCCTGGTTCTTAAGTCAGAATTCTCATTCTTTAGATATAGTCTGACAAAATCTACTCCTCTATCTGAAAAGCTAATTATAAGCCTAAGAAGAACAGATTATGCTACCAATAAAACATAACTGCTGAGCAAAATGACACGTTTTTCTACATCCTCTACAACATTACACCTCATTTTTTCATTCAAATTACCTGAGAGCACAGACAATACTAACAGAATTGCTCATATCCTGGTGATGTACATCCAACACAGTCAATGGAGACTTTAACCAGAGAGAGCTTCCTGCAACTACTGCTGTCACCAGAGATGTAGCACAGACAGAAAAAGCTTAAATTTTTGTCAACATTCCAAAAGTAAAGCAGATTCAAACTAAAAAAAGCAAACTTATTTTGTACTCAGAAGCTGAAATAGAAATTATATTAAGATACAGAATAGAGAAACTTCATTGTAGCCTAATAAACAGTCCCTGGGATCCAAGATGTCAATTTACTTTATGCTTTATGAGCCTGAAGCAGCCAACAGAAAAAAAAAAAGTAAATAACCCAGGTGGATACAAACAGAGCTGGATAAGAAAGCACAACTGGTTTGCATATCAAAGCCACAGCTCAATGCAAGTCTCCTGGATGCGTCCAGGCAAAGAAGCCTTTAAATCCTGAAAAAAGGTAACAAAGTGTCTTACTAGAAAAATGTTAAGATATAAAGCTCCTTTGTTCAGCAATATAAAAACAACTCACAATTTAATTTCCTGAGCTGGCATGCAGATATAACTAGCAGAGAATAAATTCAAAGGACCTTTCTTAAACTCTTAAAAAACAGAAATAAATCTGACACTGTAAAAAAATTGAATATATTCTGGAAGAGATTCTGGAATGGTGACAGCATGCTTCCTTTATTGAGTTTGTGTCAATTTCAGAATGTCAATTTCAGAAAGAACGGTCAGATCTGAATGAAATTCCCAACTCCTGGAATCCAAAGGAGCACATGATCACACTGAAGTGATACTGCAGGAATCACCAAGATGAGGACTCCTCACCTGCATCCTCTGCTGGTACTGCAACTGTAAGGAGCTTTGAGATGATCCTGGTGTAGCCAGCCCAGACTCCATACGCTGTGAAATGAAGTTGTTGAGGGATCTCAGGGTGGAGAAGACAGTGGTATTATTTTCCAAGTCCTCCATGGCTCTGGAAATAGACAGAAATTCATCAGCAAAACACTCAGAGCAAGCTGCTCAGCTAAAGAGGGATCCAACACTGCCCTAAGGAAGCACTAACCACAAGGTCTTCCAATTTACAGGGTAAAATCAATCTGCAAATCACTGCTGGGATCCACAGAAAACATGACCCCATCCAGGCTGAAGTTGTACTTTTCACTGAAATGAGAAAAGGATGCAAGACAGCCTTTTCTTCTCTGACCAAGCCAAACTCATTGCTCTTTCCCCTAATTTTTGAAGCTGATGGGAGCAGAACTAACTCCACAGTAGCTGCAAACCCTTCCTGCTACACAGCTTGTTTCTGGTTTCCCAGAAGCACTTTGGACTCTAATTTCCAACAAGAAGTTTTCCCAAGTCCACTGATTACTTGTGTAAGTGAAACTGCATGAGACGCAGCTCTTCCTTCCAATTCAGAAGGGTACTAACTAAAAAGCCAAAGATAAATCAAGCCTGGAGCTCAGAAAAGCCTACAAGGTTTCGCAGATTTCAGAAAGTCCTGGGTGAGTCCCTCCAGCGACTGCATGCTCCATGAACCCCCAGAAACACCGGAGAAGGTCCAGGACCAGGAAAAGCAGCCACAACATCCACACGGCTTGTAGCACAGACAGAGCCTTGGCGCTGCCTCCGGGCTCCTGCACTCTCGGGGTTACACAGCAGTCATTGTTTGCATTTACAGCATCACGGAGAGGAGGCGTAAGAGCGGCGCAGAAGCAACAGATCTGCCAAAACCCAAACTGAGCACTGGAGTACCAAACACACCTGCCGGCAGGTAGCTCCAGCAAGCCCGTTCTCAAACCTACTAACAATGAAGACGACACTTAAGTGTGTGACCCGGTCTGGTTCAGAAACCCCCGTGGCCAAGAATCCTTCGGGACAGGCAGGCACCCACGGCGGTGAGCGAACACCGAGAGCGGCCGCGGCGGGCACGGGGCAGCTCCGGGCACAGAGGGGTTCTCCCGCACAATTCCCCCGGGGGAATAGCGGGATGGGACGGGCGCGGCCAGAACGCTCCTTCCCTCCCGTTTCCGCCATCCCTGCCCCTTCCCCCGCCGCTCTCTCACCGCTCACCGCCGCGCGCCCCGCTTGGATCTCCCTCCTCGCCCCGGCCACGGGATCTCGCGGGAACTCCGCGCCCGCCTCTCGCGAGAACGGCGGCGCCGGCAGCCGTAACGGCGGCATTATGCGCGCAGCTCTCCGCGCGCTACCGTAATGCCCCGACAAGGTGGGGTGAGGCTCGGAGCTCGGTCTGCCCCCCAAAAACCGCCCCGCGCCCGCCTGCTCCGGCAGGGATCTAGTCAGCAGCCCCAAGGGAGCTGTTGATGATGAAAAAGGCCTGAGAGTCTTAAATAGCCTCTCATATAACTCATGCCACAGTCAGCCTGATAAAAACACTATTTAATATAAAGTTCGTCACTTTCAGATAAGGCAGCAGCTAAATTTATTTGTGCAAACAGATTTCCGGCAATCTAGTCATTCTCCCTACTGGGATCTTAGGAACATCTTGTCTTTTTGCCTGAGAAACACCATTGGTCACACCTAAAAAGCACTGGGGAGACGATCTGCATAGCCATGACCCTGTCCTACTGCCATTGACGGGATTTATGAGTGCTAGGAAGCAGCAATTCCTAAATTTAACCTGTGTCTGTAGGAGAGGCAGCAGAGCCATGGGGCTGAACATTCCCAAGTCAGCCGTGCCTCTCACATGGCTGTGTTACACATCTTGCATGAGAATGCAAATCTTGGCGTGCACAGAAACATTTTTCAATTTTTACCTGTGCTAATAAATCACACCAGCTTCTAAAAGGCACTGAATTGGCTCAAACTCCCCTTTGCTGTTCCCTCACGTTCTAACAATCACCTTAACGGTCAGTCTCGTGTATGACAGCATTAACAGTGCAATGATTTTCAGGTACGCATTAAAAACTCATATAATCAGCATTTTATTTTCATTTGCATTACTCCAGCCCCAGAGGTTGCCTTCCAGATTATTCCTCTCCATTCCCAACCATTTTGTCCACAAGTATTTGAAAAGCCTGACGGACTTAAAGAAGAGTAGCAAATTTTCCCAGGGTCTTAATGGTGGGATTTTCCTTTAAACATCCACCAAATTGACATTTCCAAACAATGTCAGAGAATCGGCAGTTCGTGACTTTCATTTCCCTCTGTACAGCCTTGCCAGGTAATAAGATTCTGCAGAGTCCTTCCTGCTGGCCTGAGGCTTTATAGTTCTCACATCCTGGAACTGCTCCTTCAGTCTGCTTTGCAGAACACGGGCCTCAGATCCATCCCAGAATTTACAGAGCATCGTTCCTTTTGGCTTTAAAATGCTTTGGGATATATCCAGGAGGCCTAAACACAGCCTGATCAGCTTCTGATGATCCAGTTCTTTAATGCCTGTGGCGTTGGGTGCCATGTCACTCAGGATGACATCTGCCTTCCCTAAGGGCAGCTGGCTCTGGATGGCCCTCAGCATGCTGGGGTCTGCAATGTCAGCCTGCGACAGGAAAACCGCTCCTTCCAGAGGAGAAATCCGCAGCAGGTCAACGCCAAGCACGAAGCCGGTGGGGACAGCAGGATCTGTAAGGATCAGTGACACAGGGAACACTCAGAGTGGCTGCAAAAACCTGCACATGCACGAGCTCTGTGCCAGTCAACAGACAAAACACCCACCACAGCTGCCTTCTCGTCTCCTAGCAGTTTGCTGGAGGGTATGCCATAAGCCTATCTGCTCAAGACATAAAAACTCAGCTACTTTGGATAAACAAGGAGAATTTTTCCAGGTTTTCTGCTGCTCTTGCAAGGCTGACAGTCCAGAAATCCTGGACAGTGGTGCACATGTTAACACCTCATTTTGTAAATATCAGTGGTTTCACCCACATAAACCATGCACAGCAGTTGCTTCCACTTTTTGAGAAGGGAAATAATACTTCAAATAAGCCAGGGTAATTGCTGGAGGTCACACCAACTTCAGAACTGGATGAAGGCATCTTCCCCACAACAGCTAATCAAATCACTAGCACCACATGGTATGTTTTATTTCATAAAAACAATTTCTCCATATAAAGATTTACTAGGCTCACCTCTTCAAGTTCTCATCAGTGACTCTGGCACTTGCCAGTATCAATGTCTCCTCCCCATACTGTTACCATCATAGTATTTCCTTGATTTCATACTATTTCAATTTAGATTCCATAGTATTTCACAGATCTCTCACACATTTCAAAAGCAGTATCATCCCCATCTTGCCTGTCAAAAAATGGCACTTACCAGTACCTAATGCATTGACCCTCTCTACAGCAACCTGGCTCCAAGCACCAGGTGCTGCTCCACAGTCAAGAACAGAAAGTCCTGGATGAAGAACACGGAACTTGTCATCAATTTCCAGCAACTTGAAGGCACTTCTGCAACGGTAATGCTGCTGCTTGGATGCCTTGACAAAGGGATCCTTCAAGTGCCGCTCCAACCACCTCTGCTCAGTTCCAGTTTTCCTCAGAAATTTCACCGTGGTGTGCAGGCATCTACTCATCCAAAGCCAACAACTGCCAGGAAGAGAGGAAAGTCAACCAGTTAGTACATAACCACTCTGTATTTCAAAAGTCTCTATAATAGTTAATTTCAGCCACTACAGGCAGCCCAGGGAGGGTGTGGAGTCTCCCGGTCAGGAGACATTTGAAATACAGCTGGACATGTCCCTATGTCACCTGCTCCAGGCAACCCTGCCTTGGCAGGGTCATTGGGCTAGATGGTCTCCAGAGGTCCCTTCCAACCCGAACCACTCTGTGATTCTAAAAGAAGCCCCAAATTTGAGATTTTTGGCACCTTTACTTATCAGGCCCTACCACAACAGCAGGGCCAGATTTTGGACGAGGCCTCACGTGCTATCCTGAGCTAAGGGGGGAAAAAAGATCCCACTCCAGCTTCTGCTCTGGTGTTTTAAGGACACGACATGGCAGAGTGATCCCAGAACGGTCTGTGCTGCCTCAGCGGGGCTGGCAGCCTCCGTGAGCCCCTCGGAGGAACGGAGGGACACCCGAGCTCCTGCAAGCTCCTGGCAGAGCAACCAAGAGCCACGGACGGAACCGCCGCACGGCACTAACCTAAAACCCCAGACGCACATTATTCTTAACCCATTCCCGAGGGAAGCTCCAGGCGCCGGCACTAACAACACCACACCGTCCCCCGCGTGGGCGCCGGGATCGCCTCAGCGGCCCCGCCACGCACCTCCCACCGGCAATGGCAGCTCCCGTACGGCCCGCCATGGCCGCCTCAGCCCGGCCCGGCTGCCCCAGCCCGCCAGGACACCCTCAGCCCGCCATGGCCGCCTCAGCCCGCCCCGTCCCGCCTCCCCTCACGGCGGCCGCGGGCGGGGCGGCGGCGGCGCGGGAAGAGCGGGGACGGGCCGCGGATTGAGGGGTCACCGAGGCGGGCGGGAGAGCTGCGAGTGTGGGGCTGAGGTGTGCGGGGACAGGGGTGGGAGTGCAGGGGGGTCAGGGACTGGGATGGGGGATCAGCGACTTGGGGAAGGGGCGCTACGGGTCAAGGATTCGGGGAGAGGATGTTGAGGGTGATGAGAGATTCAGGGCGGGAGTTTAGGAGGAGCAAGGATTTAGGGAGAGCGGATCGGAGATTTGGGGAGGGGTTTCTAGGGGCTTGAGGAGTCGGGGAAGGGGTGTTGAGGGTGGTCGGAGAATCTGGGGGGACAAGGATTTGAGGAGGGGATCAAAGATTTGGGGAACGGTGCTGGGAGTCAGGGATTCTGGGAGAGGGTGGTCAGGATTCGGGGAAGGGGTTTTGAGGAAAACAAGGATTTGGGAAGGGTGGACAAACTTTGGGCAGGTGGTGCTGAGGTGACACGAGAGCAAAGGTCAGTGGGAGCGTTAGAGAAGCAGGTATTGGGGACCAGGGTTTAGGGAGCGGTGCTGGGTGTTTGGGGCTGAGGGGCTCTGTGCACCCCCGGGTCCCCTCCGAAGGGTGCCGGGAACATTGACACAGCGCGCCCGCCTCGTCCCTCTCCCAGGAGCCATGAACACGTCCAGACTCTTCACCCTTGTCCTGGTGGTGCAGCCGTCCCGCGTCCTCCTGGGCATGAAGAAGCGCGGGTTCGGCGCGGGGCTGTGGAATGGCTTCGGGGGCAAGGTGCAGCCCGGGGAGAGCATCGAGGAGGCTGCCCGCAGGTGAGGGCTGGGCCGGCGCCACGGGGACACCTATGGGGACACAGGTGGAGGTGTTGGACCATCGGCAGTGGCTGCAGGTGGAGGTACCACGGCTCATCTGGTCAGTGACACCCTCGTCTTACCCACCAGTGCAGTCGTGACCCACCTCTGAACACCTGTTCCACAGGTGATGAGGGAACATCCACATGTGCAGAGAAACAGGATTGCTCCCCCTCTTGTCATCTGCAAATCTTAAACTGTCATCCATTCCTGACTGGAACTTGCTGTGTCCTCCCTCCCATCTCTCTGATCTAAACTGAGAATGAATCTAAGTGGTGGGTGGAGGTTCTTGCACTCTTTGGAGAGGTGCAGGGTTTAATTTTGGCTACATAGCAGAATTACAGCTAATTTAATTTAAATAATTAGCCAAAGTGCTTGTTATTTGATTGTATGGTGACATTTTTAAGTGCTAATGCTGAGTTGCAGAATTTAATTTCATCAGTAAAAAGGCACAGTGTGATTTTTGAACCCTTTAGTACTGATTTCTTGTAGTTCTTTCATCTTTCTGGTCATTAAAATGAAGTAGCAGATCACAGCTGAATTGCTAAACTTTAAAAATGAGGTACCTTGTTCTTTACATGAATGTTGCTGATAAAAAAGCCATGCTTTGCCATCTCCTCAGTTTCTGATACATGCCCAAAGCTGCCCTTGCACCTGCAGGAAGTTCAGTCATGGTGTGCTCAGTTGGTTCCCAACAGCCTCCTCAGCTGTGCCAGCACAACTGCCAGGCTCTGTGGTGAGCTGGGCCCCAGGACAGAAGGCTCTCTGTGCAGGTGTGCTCCCAGCAGCACATGGCCTTCATGTACCTGACCCTTCATCATGGCTTTTTGTGTAATTTATCATCTCTGAGTGGAGGGAGG